ATTGTGAAAAAGACTATTAAAGTTTGGGACAAGGAAGCGTGCAATGATGGAAGTGCATCTTTGGTGTCAGTATGTGTTCTCTTGCAGGCTTATCTTCAGTAGTGTCATGCTGTATGGTTTGCATCGCCAGACCATAGTTCATGATGTTGCTTGGATGGGGAGGTTCATGGACAATTTCCAACCATTCTGTCTGCAATATTGGGATTTAGGATTAGCCAGTTAGTGGCGATTTTCCATGTGTATTTCTTGAAATATTTGGTTTAGGGAATACACTAATTAATACATAAACAGAATGTAGCAGCGATCTCAAATTAGAGCCATTTGGCCCTGGTTCAATGAACAACAAAATATGATGCATCTTGCTGTCTGTCCTAAGAACAAAAAGGACATTTCAAAGCCTGTTATGAAACAATCCACATAAGATACATTAAACAGAATAGGCAAGGCTGACCGTTTGGAAAAGTGCATAGTGTCACATTTAAAGTTTCACTGTACTTGAACCTTTACATGGTGTAGTTTAATTATTTTAACTTAAAATAGTTCCAAGATACATTTAGATTTTTTAGCTTTCAAAGAATTTGGCTCCTACATATGCAGGAGCTTCTGCTCATTTTAGATTTATGACATTAAGTTTGTAATTTTTCTTTAGTATTTTGGAGACATCATTTGCCCCTAAGTGGTAGAGAAATATTTGTTTGAAAACTCTATTTTATTATTTCTTTCTTGAATTTTCCAAAAATGGAGATAATGAGGACTAAGAAGCAGTTTGTACTTTTCCTGAACACAAAGAATGGATTTATCCTCAGGATGTTTGGAATTCATAGGAAGGTAAAAAGTTCTCTTCCATCATCATTAAACAAGAGTATGCCAATAAAGGAGAAGTGCACCATTTTGGAGAAAGGTAAAAGGAGCACTTTAAATGCTCCAAGTCTGGTGGCTCAGAAAAGCAGTTCCTACCAAAGGTGGGCAGAAAAAAATTGAGAAAAAGAATGTGAACCCTATGCATAGTTGCATGCAGATTGGTGGCTGGATTCCTGCTAAAATACTCTCAGATCAAAAAGGTTCTGAGGATGGTCTGCAGGAGAGAAGAGTGGTCCATATGTGTGAATCACAGAAAACAAGAACCAGGAAGCATACTGTGATGTAAGCCTCTTGATGTCTTATAGAGGGAAATTCATGTTAAAAATGGCTATGAGCTACCTTTAGCAGTTCTCCTGTTATGTGTCTGCTAGCTACATCTCTGCCATCCAAACAACAGCATGCTTGTCTGAAATAAGAAGTATTCACTCATAGACTGCTATACATAGAAAATTCTGAGATCAGATCTTTGTTCAGGGCCATACACATAGGCCTCCTTGCCTCACTTACACTAACTGGTGGGATAGGGTTGCCAGATTTTTCCAATGAGATATTCAAGTCTTTTATTCCAAGTCTCAAGTTAAGTCTCAATTTTCCATCTTCAAGTCAAGTCTCAAGTCAAGTCTGAAGTCTGGGAGCCAACGTTAACAGAAAAAGGAGGTGATTGTGGAGAATGTGGGAAGCAGAGTTTCAGTAACTAGAAAATCAAGAAGACATGTACAAAGTTAGACAAAAATGAATAAATGATTGTAAACAGGGATGGGCAACTGTAGCTTTCCATTCTATATATTTTTGACCTATGATTCCCATCAGCGTGGGCAGTGTTAAGGGATTATGGGAGTTGAAATTCAAAACCATCTGGAGGTCTATAGTTGCCCACCCCTTTAAAGTGATAGTATATCAACTGCCATTTGATATGTAGAGCCAGATTTTTCAATTGCTGGTTATTGTTATCGAGAGAGTTCTCATAAACCAATGATGACGAACCTTTTAGAGACCAAGTGCCCAAACTGCAACACAAAACCCACTTATTTATCGCAAAGTGCCGCATCCCTCTTGCTTTCTAGTAATGAACTCTGGCAAACTCTGTTGTGGGGTGATGAACATGTGCCCACAGAGAGAGCTCTGAGTGCCAACTCTGGCATATGTGCCATAGGTTTGCCACCACTATCATAGACATTTTGCTGTGTGCCTTCAGGTTGTTTTTCACTTATGGCAACCCTAAGATGAACCTATCACGAGGTTTTCTTGGCAAGATTTGTTCAGAGAGAGTAGGCTTTGCCTTCTTCTGAGGCTGAGATTGGGTCACCTAATGGCTTTCCATGGCTGAGTGGGGATTCTAAACCAAGTCTCAAGACTTGTATTCCAGTCCTTAAACCACTACACCTTGCTAGTTCTCTCTCAGGCTTGCCAGATTTTCTACATCTCTTAATATTTGATTATTGGGATAAGCAGGATTGTTCTTAAGATATTACACTCCCTTGCACATTTGGGATAGAGTGGAATAAAAACTTTAACGCCTAAATACTCTGAAGTCACCAGATCTGCTCTGATCTTGAAAGCTAACCCTTAGTACTTGGAAGAGACACCACCAAACCAGCGGTTGTAGGCTATATTCAGAATAAGGCAATGGCAAACCACCTCTGAGTGTCCTCTGCCTAAAAAAAGTCCTATGAATTTCATGGGGTCGCCATAAATCAACAAATAATTTGAAGGCAGAATTTATGATGGGCAAAATAAAAACTGCAATTACCAATATATTTTCTCTGTATATTTAATATAGAATTAATGATATGTAGTTATTCTGCTGTGTCATTTAACTGGGTTTTTCAAATAAAGTTTTTGCATTGCATTGAATAATGACTCTAACAGAGAAGCTAACCCATACTGAAAAAGTAGTTCTTATTGTCCAGTTACCATAGATATAGAAGCCACCTTCAGCATATATATATATATATATATATATATATATATATATATATATAGAGCTTTCAAATCTTGATCTTTTTTTAAAAAAGTATTTTTCCAACAGAGCAAGCCAGTTAGGACAGCATGTTAGAGCTTGTTGGAATAAAACTTGCCCACCAATGTAAAATGAGAACATTAATATTTCATGTAGGAACATGAGTTGTCTTTAAACTGACAAGATCTCTGCAATTTAAAAACAAACTAGAACTCCAGCAAGCCCCAGCAAAATTCTATTTTTAATAATCTCTGCTTTTAAAAAACCCACAGCAACTTTTTTATTTTTTAACTAAAAATGCTCTGAAAAGAAGATTAAACTTGTTTCTTGTATTTAATACTTGGAAGATATATCAGAATATTAAACTAATTAACCATACCCAAGGTAAATAATAGCTTAATTTGCTATTTACATCTAGATTATCCTTGTTGTCATTATTCATGATCTATTCATATTGTAGTCTATTGAATTCCAGTTACCTTAAGAAAATACTTTAGCTTTGGCATTTTCATTTCTTTTGTCCAAGTTCTATGATGTCACTTTGCTAGAAAATTACAGAAAAGGTGCATTTTTAACTGTTGGTTAAATAATTGGTTTTGACTTTATTTTATATTTTCTCTGTTACTTTTTTTTTAGTGGCTTGGGTGTGAAAAACTCTCACCAGTGGTGGCTCATGGATATCCTCTTTGCAGCATATTGCTTTGCTTCACACTGCTGCACTTGCAATACCACTTCCTTGTTGTTGTTCTGTGCCTTCAAGTCATTTCCAACTTATGGAGACTCTTAGGTGAACCTACCATGGGATTTTCTGGGCTGAGAGACTGTGACTCACTCAAAGTCACCCCAGTGGGTTTCCATGGCCAAGTAGGGAACTGAACCCTGATCTCCAGAATCATAGTCCAAC